ACACCTTCACCTTACATCGCTTCCCGACCCGGCTTCATCTTCCCTACGGCCCATACTCTGCAGCCCCCATCCGCTGCCGAGTCTCACCCACCTTCCATCAACTCCCACTTTCATACATATGCAGCCTGCGCTTGCTACTGAGTCCCCACTCTTTCGTATACAACCCGTTGTCTATCCTTCCCTTCCCGACGTTACCCTCCCCCCAGCATCTTATACCCTGCAACCCCCGTCTGCTACCGCGCCGCGCCCAGTTGTAGGGGTTTGTCGTGGGATGCTACAGTGACGTATGACTGGTATTATTTCTTGGGTGGTCAGGTATTGCATTCTCAGAGTGTCCCGACGTTAACCCATGCCGACTTCGGGAGGATTGCATTGACTTAAACGGAGCAACGTTGGTTGCCACGTGACCCGACGTTGACTTGGCATTTGAGCTCCCGTCGTCTTTCGCCTCCCGCTTCCATGGATCCCGCCCTGCCTCAACCGGTTGACTTTGCGACCAGCCCCGTAGATCCAGCTTGGCAACTTGCGTTCACTGATGCCACGGTATGTTACGCTCAGGAGCTGTTTGCTTCCCGAATGGCCGTCCCAGGCGCGCCCGCACCTCGCGCCAGTGAAGTTCTTGAGCTGGACTTCTGGCTCGAGATACAGCACCTGATCAGTCTTTACATGAGGGCCCACCGGAATAAATGTAGGCACCAGTACATGTCATAGTGCAGCATTTGCCTGACCCCATATTCAGACACTTTGCCCTGGAGTTGTGAAGCATATAACGCGTATGTGGGGGGTCAAGACGGAACCAAAACAGCGTTCGAGGACGCGCTTAGCGGGCACTTCCCGCCTCTCGAAAGCGATGTCGAAGGAGAGACCGAAGGAGTTGTAGAGACGCGCCCTTCCCTCGTTGTTGATAAATATGGAGTCATCGTTCTTGCCTGTCTACCGGGAGTCATAGGGCATAGCATTCAGGTACTCACTTTGCAGCGCTATTGCATAACGCGCTAACATATTCTAGGCGGATGCATTTCATAGTACTCAGCTACTTAACCCGACGTTTGAAGTGAACGGTCCCGACTCCAGCCCGACATGGCGGCTGGAAGGGCAGGCGTACCGTCGGGACGTCGAGAGTCTCTATCTGAGCCCCGGTCTGGCGACGTTGGGATTCTGGCACAGTACTGGACACAAGGCAAGCTCCAAACCTTGACTTTCAGGACTACCACCTCATCCCTTTGAAGACACCCGGGAAGAAAATCCACGTCGGGAAGGATCTCGGGAGCTCGGGAACCAACCTGACAAGGTCCCAGCAGGACGCGCGCAGATGGCTGACGCGCAACACTAAGACGGCAGCCTTGATGTCAGCATTTTCGGCGCTGGTCAGTCCTGAGCAATACGCGTTGGCCCGCGAGGGACTAGTACGGCTTGCTCGGCGCAGTGATACTCTGCGAGAGGCTCTGGAGGGTTGGCCCTTCGCATTTACTTCGCTTGCGGCAGTATCGAACCGATCTACGGGTGTACACCGCGACCGTAAAAGCGGCGGTAACACCTTTTATGACGTGATGACGACCATAGGAGGGGATCCCGACGTCGTGCAGATAAGGTTTAAAGGTATCGGCTTCTCCGCCAGGTATACATCGGGATCTATGGTCGCGGCTAGCTGCCACACTCATCTTCACTCGGTTGCCGCTTCCCCAAATGTCGAGCGCCTGGCGTTGGCGGCCTATATGAAACCAACTGTTCTGCTCGAAATGGGCCTTGACATGCCCCGGCTACCTACTATTCCACTTGTAAAAGAACTCCTTATCCGTCAGATACGTGCACGCCGGCGTATATAGTCCATGAATGACAATTGTGTGTTTCGCCAGTGTTGGAGGCCCTTCGGGATGCTGTCGGGATGTAGTCGGGAACGTCGGGACGGAATCGGGATGTCGGGACGTTCAGCGTCAAAGCGCTGTGTCTAGAAGCCTACCGTGCTAGGGTCTCTGGCAGCTCACATTTAATGCGCATATACTAATTCAGCCCACAGAAACATTAAATATGCAATTAGCTACGTTGTATGTGGCACAGAGGCCAGAACGGCCTGCATCACATTCTCCCCGACTAGCCCAAATCCGTCCCGAGTATCGCGTTGGTCGGCAGTCAAAGCCCCGTCGGGATACGCTGCCACGTAGAGTTCCAACAGTTCGCGCTCATCCATGGCCAGTATCTTGTTGAGGTACTGCAGCTGATCTTCATGATCAATTCGCAATGCCTGCAAGACCTGCGTAGCATCTTCAAGGACTTGTTGAACAGCCCGAGCGTCATCTTCGTCGACACCATTCAAAGCTTCCTAGAGTGCTGCCATTAGCTGCTGAAATGCGAGTGCTACGGAGAAGCTTACCGGCCTCCCTCGGACTCGCCGTAAAGCCAGAAAGTCGTCAATCATCTGGAAAGGCTTTTTGGCATCGTCGGGATGGTCGGGATCCATCATCATCCACCAACGAGGCGGAGCTTTGAACACTTTGTCGAAGTCCTTCGACTTGTCCTTCATGTCCATGACGTCCGTTGCGCTTGTAAGTCCGCAATTGTCTTGACATTGCTCTAACTCTGCGCGGGAGAATAGCAGCTCGTCGATCGTATACATTCCCTCGCTCCCGGCGAGGAGACGCTTGTACAGTCGGGATACCTCGGGATGCGTCGGGACGCCGCGGAGACAGGCCCAAGCAGATATACGCGCGATGTAAAGCTGCGCAGTGCACAATTAGTAGTATACCACTGTGAAAGGACCGATAACGCACCGCTTCAAGACCCACACCCGCCCTGAAGATTGATTCCTCGATCTTCCACAATCCGCCCCCAGGCTCCTCACAGTGATTGCGTATGTACTGGCTAATCATGTCCATACGCGTTATTGAGCCCCAGTACGCCCATTTACGGTCCAGTTCAGAATTGTGCCACTCGAGATCGGTGGGCATGATGGTGGTTCGGGATGAGAAGTCGATCACCTATCGGAGTGATGCTGAGAACGTTGTTGGAGAATCACATGATAGCC